TAGTGGTCTTTATATACCTTTGAAAATTATCTGTTAATGGTTAGATGAATTATTACCAGAAGCTGTTTTAATAAGACTATGAATATTGATACTCCAAATGGAAAAGTATAAAATTAATATTGATCATTTTGAAAGAATTATGATAATGATTGCATTTAACCATTCATCCTAAAACCTAAAATACTCTAAAATACTATTTTCTTCCATGTTATTTCTTTTTAGTAGTTAAAAAAATTTTTTAATTGTACTTTAGGTTCTGCGGTACATGTGCAGATCACGCAGGTTTATTGCATAGGTACATACATGGCAAGGTGGTTTGCTGCCTTCATCCCCTATCACCTATATCTGCCATTTCTCCCCATGTTATCCCTCCCTGACCTCCCCACCACCCTGTTGTCCCTCCCTTGGCCGCCCCAAACAGACCACAGTGTGTGATGCTCCCCTCCCTGTGCTCATGTGTTCTCATTGTTCAATACCCGCCTATGAGTGAGAACATGTGGAGTTTGATTTTCTGTTCTTGTGTCAGTTTGCTGAGAATGATAATTTCCAGATTCATCCATGTCCCTACAAAGGACACAAACTCATTGTGTTTTATATTCAGCATTTTTCTAACAAAATGCCAGAAACCATGTGAAGTATTTATCAATAAGAAATAAATCAGCAGAATACGCTTCCTTTTAACTCAATTAAATACTATGTGCCCAGATCATAGACAGGAAGACCAGATATAGGAAAAAGTGATGCTTCCAGAAAAGATTAATATAAAAACTAATCTTGATGAAGTCTGGAAAAGACCATAGATGTGCAACTAATACTCAGGTAGAAGATTATAGATATACAGTTGACAAACATCTTACTTCTTTTTTTAATTGACAAATAATAATTGTACATATTTATGAGACACATAGTGATGGTGCAATATATATAATGTATAGTGATCAACTCAGGGTAATTTTGAATCCTTTAGCAAATTTCTCCCTCTTCCTCAAAATATCTCATTTCTAAGGACCCTTGAATCAGCTTTGATAATTCTACGCACACTGTCATTAGCCCTTTTATAGGAAAAGGCCTTTGCAGATGAAGAAAACACATAGACACAGGAAGGGAACTTCTGGGAACACACTGCGTACAAACAGGGCAAATAATCATTACCAGTACTTTGGTCAAAATCAATTCATACCTATAATCTCCACTTCAGAAAATGTGAATTCATAGTTTTCATAACCCTTAAGGAATTAACAGGTGATTAAGAAAATAAGAGGAATTGTTCTTGAATATAAAAATTCGGCTCGGTTGGGCATGGTGGCTCACGCCCATCACACCAACACCTTGGGAGGCCAAGACAGGAGGATCACCTGAAGTCAGGAGGTCAAGACTAGCCTGGCCAATGTGGTAAAATCCCATTTCAACTAAAATACAAAAAGTTAGCTTGGCATAGTGGCCAAGCCTGTAGTCCCAAGCTACTCGGGAGGCTTAGGCAGGAGAATCGCTTGAACCTGGGAGGCAGAAGTTGCAGTGAGCCAAGATCGCACCACTGCACTCCAGCCTGGGCAACAAGAGCAAAACTCCATCTAAAAAAAAAATAGACTCAATCTAGTCATTCACCCACGGTGGCTATCACAGCTTTAGGCTGTGATCCTATTTCAAGGCATTCTTTTCTACTAGAGAACTCTTTACTTTCCTGTTTTTCCATTTAATCCAAGCATTATAAGTACTCGCGTATAAATCAAATTAAAATGAAAAAATGAATAGCATTTAAATGCTTTCTATCAAAACTCTTCATTGTTTTCACAGGCAATGTAAGCAAATGTATCTTGTTCATAGCGTTCTCGCAAAAATGTGCTGACTTGGAAAAAAGTCTACAAAAAAGACCTGCCAATATGGGTGGGGGAATCCTACAAAAGAAGTGTGCCAGCACGTAAGACTGTACAAAAGAAATATGTTGACTATGGGGAAAAGGCCCATCAAACACTATCATGCTACTTGTTTTTATAGTTTTATGCCACGCAGTAGAGCCTCACACAGTGGTCACATTCTTATCTCTGGCACAGCCTTTTCTGGAGACCTGTGGGAGACAGGGCCACACAGGTGGGAGGGCGCCAGTGCACAGATCACATGCTTCCTGCAAACTGGGAAGGACAACTTCAATTTCAGGCAACATAACTTTCTTTCTCTTTAGGGAAAGGACTTTAAAAAGAAAAGTAAAGAGAAAAAAATTAAAGAAATTGTTGCCTGGAAACAACCCAATGTCCACAGCTGATGAATGGATAAACAAAATGTGGTCTATCCATACAATGGAATATTATTTGGCCATTAAAAGGAATGAATACTGATACATGCTATAAAGTCGATACCGCAAAAAAACATTATGCTAAAAGAAAGAAGACAGGACAGTTGTGGTGGCTCATGCCTGGAATACCAGCATTTATGAAGGCCGAGGTAGGCAGATCACCTGAGGTCAGGAGTTCAAGACCAGCCTGGCCAACATGGTGAAGCCCCATCTCTACTAAAAATACAAAAATCAGCCAAGCATGGTAGTGGGTGCCTGTAATCCCAGATACTCAAGAGGCTGAGGCAGGAGAATTGCTTACACCCAGGAGGTGGAGTTTGCAGTGAGCCAAGATCGAACCACTGCACTCCAGCCTGGGCGACAAAGCGAGACTGTCTCAAAAAAAAAGACAGAAAGAAAAAGAAAGAAAGAAAGAAGTGAGACACAAAAGACTACCAATCATATGGTTCCATTTAAACAAAATGTCCACAATGGGCAAACCGATAGACAGAAAGTAGATTAGTGGTTGCTAAGGGCTGGCAGGAGGTAGGGTTGGTGACGGCTAATGGGTATAGGGTTTCTACAGGAGGTGACGAAAATGTCCTAAAATTGACTGTGGTGATGGTTGCACAACTCTGTGAATACACAAAAAAATCAGTGAATTGTACACTACTAATAGATAAGTTATATGATAAATTACACCTCAATAAAGTTGTTTTCAAAATTTTTCAAAACAAGCTTTGGTGCTGTGTTTAAGATTTATAAAAATCATCAACATTTTTATGTCTACTCTGAAGAAAAACAAGTATTACTCATTTTTATATTTTATTTTATTTTTGAGACAGAGTCTTGCTCTGACGCCCAGGCTGGAAAGCAATGGCAAGATCTCAACTCACTGCAACCTCCACCTTCCAGGTTCAAGCAATTATCCTGCTTCAGCCTCCCAAAGTGCTGGGATTACAGGTGTGAGTCACCGTGCCCAGCCACAAATTTTATTTTTTAAATTGAGACGGAGTTTCACTATGTTGCCCAGGCTGGTCTCCAACTCCTGGCCTCAAGCAATCCTCCCACCTCAGCCTCCTGAGTAGCTGGGACTACGGGCATATTATACCACATCCATCACTAAGAAAAACAAATAGTTTTTACCCAGGCTGAAGTGCAGTAGCACCATCATGGCTCACTGCAACCTCAACCTTTTGGGCTCAGGTGATTCTCCTGCTTCAGCCTCCCAAGTGGCTGGGACCACAGGCATGAGCCACCATGCTTGGCTAATTTTTTGTAGAGACAGGCTCTCCCCATGTTGCCCAGACTGGTCTTGAAGTCCTAGGCTGAAGCAATCCGCCTGCCTCACCTCCCAAAGTGCTGGGATATGGGTGTGAGCCACTGCAACTGGCCAAGAAAAATTTTAAATCAGACTTACAGCTATCAAATTTTTAACTATATTGAGTACAATGCTCTTTTTAAAAACTTAGTACAATTATCACTGATTCTTGCTCAATAGATATAATTTTAGGACATTAATTTTTCACTAAGCATTTTTTGTCACGTAGGCAATTATTTGAACAGAGTTTCAAAGTATCTGAAGACACCTGAAAGCGCAGAATTGCTAACATTCATGAAGAAAAAAACTTCTTATATAGTATTTGTAAGGGAAAATGTTAGTGACTTAGAGAACAATGACTTCTTATGCAGAGAAAGGAGGGAACTGTATTCACTTTGAAGCCTCTTCTTTTAAATTTCATTTTGGCTAGGAAGCTTTCTATTCCTTAGAAGGTTTATATTCATCTTTAAAGGAGAAGCTCATATTTCTGGCCTTACTCTTTCTTGAGTTAAGAAGGCATTTTTCTAAAGAATTCTTACAACTTCACAGGATTCTAAGGGATTCATATAATTTCACGAAAATGACACTGAACACTCGCAATTCCTGGGCTCCCCCTCTGCATCCAGTCCCCCTAGCAACCTGCCTTTCCCTTTTGTCACAGTTCTTCTACCTGTTTTGAGGCCCTAGGAGGACAGGGCTGGTATCTGTCCTGGTCACTATTATATTTGCATACGGCACAGAGTGGGCATTCAAGATAACATTTATTAAACTGAATTAAAGGCTTTGGTTTGTTTTAAACAATAAGTTACTCTTATATAATATGCTCATTTATCAAAAAAGTTCCACAGAAATTAGAATTAACCTTATGGGAAGTGGAAAGATCAGCAAATATCAAATGGTGAGCCATCTCTCCACACTGGGGCTGCTAAGGGGAGAGAGAAATACACTTCTGAGATGCACAACTGCTCTCCTCCCTGGAAGTTCATTCATAAGTCACTAAGACCAGTCAAACAGACATTAAACAGGGAACCAGTTTCAATGTAATAGAGAGAACCGTGGATTCAAAAGAACTGAGTGTGAATCAGGGTTCTCTCTCCCCATCCAAGTTCATCTCCAGGAGCATCGGTAACTGACAAAACAGCCCAATGAATAGGGAGTCATGTAGATCAAATGCAAAGCGGCATTCAGTGTGTTCCACCAAGGCCAGGCCAAGGGACAAGCTTACCAGGGAGAGGAATGCCCAGAGCACAGGGTCAGTGAGGGCAGGGGAAATAGGAAGATGGAGAATCAGGGCCCTCTGAGGATTCTGGAAGGGGCAGGGGTGAATCTCCACCACCCAGAGGGCTGGGCACCTGCAGTCACATGAGTGACATCGAATACATTATAAAATAAACAATCTGGGAAACTTACTTAGTACTGAATTTTCAGTTTTGAAAACAGTTCTTCTTAGTCCCAGTCTCATTGTTCCTCCCAAATCGCCAGGGTTGTGTTCGGGCATATCAATCACCTTAGAAAACAAAACAAATCAGGTTTTGCTATCTTGTAAAAATGCCATTTCTCAAATTTCAAGCCTTACTTTTAAAGGAATGATCGTTGAGTAAGCATGGTCCCTAAACTATAACATCTGATCAGTCTTTCCAACAATCATGTTCAAATACAGGCATAACATAAACACACCACACACTCTACTTCCTTTCCATCTGCTTCTCATCTTTCATTTAAATCACTTATAAAAACATGTATCAGGAGCATCTTGATGACATTCCCTCTGCCATTACTCAAAATGTCAGTTCTAAGTAGTGCTCACCCTCCAAGTTCTGGATTGCTGAGGCCTCCCATTTCGATGTTCACATCTTTCGTGATAACCCCTTCTCACTGCCCACTGCCTTCCCTAAAGATTTTCCATAAGCAAATCTATCAGTACTTGTGCTTGTGGAAAGGTATACCAAAAGAATTTATTCATGGAAAACCACTAGAGGAATTCTTTAAAAAAAAAAGAAAGAGAGAGAGAGAGAGAGAGAGTAGCATCATCCAGTCTAGCACTTTCTGTAGGTCAGAAACTTAAGTGGCACCCTTGACCACTCCCTCTCCCTCATAGCCACTCTGTCAAGTCTGTGGATTTACCCCCCCACCCAGAATTCCCATGTCCATCCACTTCTCTCCAGCCCTCCCCCAGGCTACAGCAATGGCTCACTGACAGGCCACCCAGCATTCCCATGGCCCCAGCACACCCTGCCTATTGCAGGCAGAGTTGTCTATTCACACAGAAAATCTTAATGTGGCATTTTTCCTGCTTGAAACCCTTGATCTCACGGTATCAGGCCAGCCTAACCCTCCAGCCTTATCTTTTATTCCCTGCCCCTCTACCCTGAGCACTGGTTCTTTGAGTTTTTCAACTGCATCTCCTTTCCTCCCGCCATGGTGACTTGGCACATGCTGTGCCCTCTGCCAGGACAATCTCCTCTCATTCCTCTGCCCTCTTTTCCTAAATGAAACCATCCTTAACCCTGAAATCTCAGCTCAACTATCCAACATCAGCCTCTCCAGGAGCTGGTATTTCTGGGAGCCGCAGCCGAGTCAGGGTCCTTTATCTGTGCCCTCACAGAACGAGGTTCTTCCCTGTCCCTGCCCTTCTCTCACTTCGCATCTGGTGAGCGCCTTGTGGGAGAGACAGTCAGTCTTTGAGAGCTGGAGTAGCTTTATGTCTATGATCACAATCACACCTCAGAAACTGAGAAACAGGTGATTTTTATGAACAGCCTATCCCGGTGAGTCTCGTAATTCATGTTTTTCTCAGTTCTGTTCGCTATGATCTCATGGTTTCATTTCATCTTCCTCTTTAAAGTTGTTAGAACAGACTACAGGTGGGTGAGTCGACTTGTTCTAATGGAATTGCTTGAGCTTCCCTCTCATAAAACGTTTCTTTGTTGGTTTTTTTTTTCCATACTGTAATTACCACATATTGCTCTACAGCAATCTTTGACAGATGGAATTTTCTGAGGTAAAAAATTTCCAAGAAAATGTCTGCTGTTATCAGTGCCCCAGAAGAATTTTCCAAGCCATCTGAACCCAGTGTCCTGAGTTCACTCCAAGGGTTACTTCAGGGAAAGGGCGGAGAAGCTTGATGACCTCCCTTGTTAAATGGAGCGCTCGATTCTCAAGTGCTCTTGGCCTTGGCATCTTGTCCCTATCTTCGGTTGGCTAATGATGGCTGGGTTAAGTATTACTGGAGTGAGGTGAGAGAGGGCATTCGCTTCCGGCTGATGAAGCTGAGTTGCACATGGATGCCGGGCCTCCCTATGTATTCTCTAAGTCAGGTAATTCTGCACTACCTGCCACAGATTCAGAAGTCCTACCTGCCTCACTGCTTACTTGGGATGAACTTGACAAGCACTTCAAGACTGGAAAATATTTCCAAAAATAAACTGTAGGGGTGGGGGGTGGGGAGAAAAGGAAAATGCAGTGGGCATAGGGGCTGCCTAAGAGCATTGAAGACTCCTACAAAGTGGGTGAAGTCTAAACAGTCCTGAAAGAATACTATGAGATGATCTAGAAATATGGAGACAAACACCAGGAGAAAGAGCTAGAAGAGTTGCGAGTGGCAGAGAGGGAGTGAGGATTAATGACTTTGTCATTAGAGGCTTTTCAGAACTGTTGGTTTTTTAAACTTTGCACATAGAATTATACTACTGAAAATACAAGTTTAAGTCATCAAGAGTAAAATGTAGTATTTAGGCCTGACACTAGGTATTAGTTCACAGTATCCCTGCTGTTTTCAGAAGTAATAAATAGTACCTTCTCCTGAAATGACAGCACAAAAAGAAAATCCAAGGAATAAATGCTGCTGTGATCCTCTGACTAAACCATGCTGGCATAGGAACCAGTGGCGAAGGCAAAAAAAATGCTGGAGAAGAGGCAGGAAGCAGGTGAAAATAGGTCTTCAGTACCAAATGTTGCCCTGAACATCAGTGAAAGGAGAAAAGCAAGGCAAGAATCAACAGGCAAGTCACTGATGGACGGAGGGAACATGAGGGTTCTGTGTGGGCCTGACTTAGGGGGTCTCATCTGGGAATGCCCACTGCATACTCAAGCAGAGAAGAATAGTGCCAGGCACCAACTGGTAGAACCCCAACACTCAGGAAGGGGAAGATCAGGGCAAGGCAGAGACTATGGTGCCCAAGCCCGACACACCAGCCGCCTTGCAGAGTTATCAGATGATCCTACAAGCTGGGTCCTACAAGATGATGATGGGTGGCTGCCTCTTGGGTTATAAGCAACCTGATTCAGCAACAAAAATTCACAAAAAATGTCTTTGTTCCTTGCATTCCTTCCACAAAAAGCCGGAGAGACAGGAGAACATCACAGTTTCAAAACATATCTATGTTATCATTACTGGGGTGGTTAAAGAATCTCAAATATGCTTTAGATTTAACACCAACATTTCCAAAGTACCCTAGATTTTTGCATCTGAAAGGAAAACGCAATTTCCATTGCAAAAGGATTGCCTTTGCTTCCTCTAATTCAGCCTAAATACTGGCTGTCATCTGATCCCCAGATCTGTCCGTTCTTGGAACTGAGCCATATAGCAGGAGAAAAATAAAAAAGGATCAATAAGTGATAAAGCTTTAGGAGATGTGAAAGCAGCATGTAAGGATAAATATGGCACTAATTAACCTTTACCGATGTTTCTGCAGCCCATAATAAAAGTGTAATGAGTTCAAGACTTTACAGCATCCCAAGTGCCTTAAACAACAAAGTCTACGGAAGTTAGGTTCTCTTAGCAACAGCGAAATTTCTGAATGGCAGTGTGTACGGGACCTACCTGACCTACCCTGGTAAGTGTCGCTTTCCTCATGTTCCTTATCTTTGAATATTTCACCTGGAGACAACGGGAAAGCCTACCCACCAGCAGCCATTTCCAGACTTTTAGGCAACACACAGCAATTTCCTCCTCTAACATTCTTTTTTTTTTTTTTTTTTTTCCTATTTTGTAGCATTGGGGTTTTATCATGTTGCCCAGACTGGTCTTGAATTCCTGGGCTCAAGTGATCCGCCCGCCTCATCCTCCCAAAGTGCTGGGATTATAGGCGTGAGCCACCACACCCGGCCTCCTCTCTTCCTTACAAGGATTCTCCAACTCATTCCTTTCCTACTGCTCATTAGGTTTTCAAGCCTGATTCTGATTTTGATTCTAAGTCATACTCAAGTTGTACATAAGGTATCAGGCAGTTTTACATCAACATTACGTTCCCTAATGTAGAGTTGCACTGCTAGCTCCAGCAGCCTCCATCACTACAAACCAAATCTAAACTCTTCTGGGTGGCTCTCAGGTTCCACTTCACATGGGAACCCAGACTAACCATGTGCTTCTCATGTGTTCTAACCTGTAGCTTCTACCTCAGCTAGCTGGGGGCCATTGCTAATGGCACCTCCACTCTCCTACCCACCACGATACTACACATAGACCCCCTCCTTCTCTACTTTTCACAAGATGTCTTCTCCCTCCCATTCCTCATACTTTAGGGACCCCTTCCAGTTCCCCTTACTGCCTCATAATTAATACCATTGTTATGCTCAGCCTACCAAATAAGTAATGCATACACTGTCAATTCTTTTTCAGTAAGTCATCGTAGGAGGCTGAATAACGCCTCCTCTACCCAAAGACATCCACATCCTAGTCCCTGAAACCTATGAATCTGTGGCCTTGGCAAAGGGACTTTGCAGATGTGATTAAGTTGATGTGATAAATAACCTTTGCCTCTCCATTTTTCCATTACTACCCTGTGCCTGTCATTTTCCCCCCTTCTCTAGTTTCAAAATGCACTGTTGTGAACACACCCTGTATTTATCACTTGTCTCCATATATTTTTAGTTAATGTTTCATGAGAGTATCGGTGGATTTCATGTTTCTGAGTGCAGTTTACCCTCATGCTTTTGAGTATATGAGTAAAGAGAAAAATAACAGACAAGAGATGTGACAGGCAGAAGTGAGCAAGTAAAAACTTAAGAAGCCCCCACAGGCTGTTTTTCAAGTTCAAGTTTTGCTAGCATTTGCTACAAGTATAATTCTGACAATAGGCAGCATTGGGCCCATTCTAATCAGTTGTCTCTTGAAATAAGAGAATTGTAGCCTAAAAGGCTACTAACCAATACTGCTCCAAAAGTGTTTCTTATAGATAATTTTTACATACACATACACATGTCATATGTAATATATGGGTGTGTTATATAGAGCATATTATCTTTCATCAAATATATAGTTATTAAGATGGCATATAGTTATTAAAATCATTTCTTCAATACAGATGCAAAAAATAGGCCAGGTGCAGTGGCTCACGACTGTAATCCCAGCACTTTGTGAGACCGAAGCAGGCAGATCGTTTGAGCCCAGGAGTTGGAGACCATCCTGGGCAACATGGCAAAACTCATTTTGTATTTCTCTACGAGAAATTAAGAAAAAAAAAATTATCCAGGTGGGGTAGTACATGCCTGTAGTCCCAGCAACTT